AAATTTATTTTAGATAGGAACTAATCTTTATTTTTTATTGGTTTAAAATATTTTTAAATTCATATTGTAATGTAGACCAAAATTTATGAAGGTTTATTTTTGAATCGGCTAATGGTATTGCTATTGTGTACCGATACCACTTTTTGGAGGCCGATCCGATATTTCAGATATTAAATTGATATCGGCCGATAACCGATCCGATATCATATCTAATTTTGTATTCTGCAAAGATACCGGTTTTAATTTTTAATATACTTTTTATTAGTACAACATCTATAATTTTACTATACCATAACATATGTCATTTAAATATATTATAATGGTCAGTTATAGTTTATATTCAATTCAATTGCTATTATTTATATAATAAGTAATAGCATTAATCTATTTACATAATTAGTAATAAAAAAATATATTATGAAATTTGAAATTAATATTTAAAATTAATATTTAAAATTAATATATCGAAGATTTCTTTTTATATCAGAGATATGTCGGCGGTGATGGGGACTGTTAATATCACTAGCATCACTAAAAACAGATACTGAAGAGATTAATGAACACTTTTTTAAACAGAATGCGAAAAAAAATAACTATATTGCAGAATGTTTATTAACTAATTATTTCTATTAAAAAAATTAAACATAAAAATGTATTTCGATTTTATTTATAAAAATAAATGGTTTTTTAGATATAACTTTTTTTAAATTTTGTTAAAAGCGCCATTTTATATCGGACCGGAAAAATTTATAATATTTGCCGATAACCGATATTTTAAAATGAGCGAAATATCGGCCCGATCCGATATAAAATATCGGTACATCCCTAGTTAAAAGTGAAGAAAGTATCAGCCAATATCGATACTGACTAATAGCAAGTGTCAGTGCATATTTGTATAAAATCGTCAATATTTAATTCCCCACTATATTTGATAAATAATCTAATACATAATTTATAATTAAAGTATAATTTTAGTGTTAAAAATGTTTGATAATATAAATTTAACTAATAATTATTTATAAACTAGAATTAAGATTATATTTTTATATAAACTACATGCATTATTTTATTATCAAATTATCATATCAATTAAACAATATTAAAATTATTCAAAATATAGTAAATGAAAAAATACAAACAAAAAATAAAATTGATTAAATTATGTCTTAAATTTAAACAATTTTTGACTTAATCATACCAACCTTATCTAGGTGAGATATAACAAAATATTAAGATAAATGGTCATTTATTATCATAGGGATCTACTGCCTAATTCACGCGGGAAGATGAAATAATCGAAGATATATTTAGATATTCTATAGACATCAAAAATGCAGAGGTCATTATTATGATGGGGCCTCTTATGTTAGTGTAAAGATATCTGGTTTACAAATGTGATAAGATAATAAAGAATAAAGCAATCTATGTACATTGTGCAAGTCATACATTAGATGATGTAGTATAATATTCAATTAATACTAGCGCAAAGCGTTTATATATTAATCTTTTTTTCGAAATTCTCCCAAATGCATGGAATATTTCATTCCATCCAAGATAAAAACAATATGAAATAATCATTTCGCAGTGAGGTTGCTATGAGAGCAAAAATTTATTACACCAAATAAAACTTTTTATTTCCAAAATAATGATAATATTTGAAAAGTAGAAGTTTTAAATGCTGAAATCAAAAGTTCTCCTTTACATTTTCAAAATGTTAAATATAAAATAAAAGATCAAATTGTAATATGACAAGATAGGTTAGATAAAAGGTTAATTTAAAGAAAAAAGAATTAAATTTAGAGGAGCCCATTTTAAAGCAACAGAAAAAAACGTCTTAAAGATTTGAAGAAGGAACGAATTTATGATATGATAATATTGGGCAGTTAATGATTAGTATAGACAAATTATATATGAGAATTGCAAGTATAAAAAATAGTTTCTACAAATAAATAAAGGATATATTTCAATTAATATAGAACAATTTGTGATTCATGCTAGAAATTGTTTCAATGTTCTATAGAGATGATTCTGAAATGGATAATCCTAATTCTTCATAGAGATATGTTCTTGTACTAATCAGAATTGGAAAAATATACATTAAAAGAGTCATAACAATATTAAAAAACAAGGTAGTAAAAAAATAATTTCAATTTTTTCAGAATATGTAAAATTTATTAAAATGCTATTAACAATTTCTGTAAGTGCGTGTTCTGCAGATTGATTTTTTCCAGGATTAACATGTTTTAAATCTTATTTCATTTTAAGATAAAACAACAATGATTAAATCATAACAAAATTTTGAATGTAAATACAGTGTTGACCAGATTTGATGAATAACATTTCTATATTTATTGTATTCTTATCAATTTTTATAAGTTAAATATGGTAACATAGTAAAATTTTTAAAAAATTATTTTTTTACATGAATAAACTACGCGTTCCTTATCAAAGAAGCTTAATTTATAAAAAATGAACGCAGAACCAAATATAGCTTATTAAGAATCAAAAAATGTTATTATATTTTAAAACTTTTCATAACTTAGTGGTTTTTGAAAAACACATTTTTTGGCACCCTAGGTGAATATACATTATTTTTGAAAAAACAAATACCAAATCATGTTTAACTTCTCAAAAAAAAATTGCACTTATCAAAAAAGAAATTTTTTGAATAAACTATGTGCCCCCTATCAAAGAAGCTTAATTCATAAAAAATTAAAGCATAATCATATTAGGCTCATTAAAAGGAATCAAAAAATGTTAATATTAAGTTTATAAATTATTTATAATAGGGCTGATTTAACGTTTTCCAACAATATCGGATCTGGCAGATACCTGTAAAAAACTGATCCGATCTCCTTACTTTTCTTTTTTTGTTATTTTATTTATATTTATTTTACATTAATAAAATTTTTTAAACAATGCAAATGCACAACACCCTCTAAATTTTATTTTTTTTAAAAATAGATTTATAGTATTTTTTTATGTTTTTTTTATAAAAATAGAAAGGAGAACCCAAAGTTTTATTTATTTTCAATCTTTATAATAATAATGCCAATTTTATTATTTATACTTATAAAAGAATTTTTTTAAATATGCATCTGAATTATGGAAATATTTTACAAAAGACAAAGATAATTTTGTAAAATGCGTTATCTGCGGAATTCTAATTACACGGGAAGAAATAATGAAAGATTCATTTAATACTACTAACAATATCCGTAAACTTTTTTTAATTATTGTAGAAATAAAAAAATTAAATTAAATGCATAATTCGATTTTTTGCATAAAAAATATTGATTTCTTAATTACATTTGGTTCAAATGGGCGTGGTGAAAAATCAATATAAATATCGGATTGATTTTGAGTGGATCGGCACAGCCCTAATTTATAACTTATTGTTATTTAGAAAAATCACTTAATTTTTTCTTTTTTTGACTAAACTATGTGCGCCCCTGGTAAATATACCTTATTTTTAAAAAATGAATACAGAATTATGTTTAGCTTTGTGAGATTCAGAAAATAGTATTATTCATTTTTTTTAAAAAATTTTAATTATCAAAAAAAAATTTTTTGACTTAACTATGTGCCTCCTTCAAAGAAGCTTAATTTCATTAAAAATTAAAGCATAATCATATTCGGCTCATTAAAAGGAATCAAAAAATGTTAATAAATTATTTATAACTTATTGAAATTTTGAAAAAACACTTAATTTCTTCCTTTTTTGACTAAACTATGTGTCCCCTATATAAATGTAATATTAACACTTTTTGATTCCTTTTAATTATCTTAATATGATTAGGTTTTAATTTTTAATGAATTAAGCTTCTTTGATAAGGGGGCACATAGTTTAGTCAAAATTTTTTTTTTAAATTAATACCATTTTCTGAATCTCTTTGAAAAGCTGATTCTGTATTCATTTTTTAAAAATAAGGTATATCTACCAGGGGCATGTAGTTTAGTCAAAAAAAAATAAGTGTTTTTTCAAAATATTAATAAGTTATAAATAATTTATAAACTTAATATTAACATTTTTTGATTCATTTTAATGAGCCTAATATAATTATATGCTTTAATTTTTTATGAATTAAGCTTCTTTGAAAGGGGGCGAGTAGTTTAAATTTTTTTTTAGATATTTAAAATTCCCTTTTAAAAAAATGAATAATACTAATATCTGAATCTCCTTGAAAAGCTAAACATCTGTATTCGTATTTTAAAATTAATGCGAATATTTACTGGGGGCATGTAGTTTAGTCAAAAAAGAAGAAATTATGTGTTTTTTCAAAACCTCAATAAGTTATAAATAATTTATAAATTTAATATTAACATTTTTTGATTATTTTTTATGAATTAAGCTTCTTTGATAGGGGGTGTATAGTTTAGTCAAAAAAAATGTGTTTTTTCAAAAGCCATTAAGGTATAAAAAGTTTTAAAATATAATATTAACATTTTTTGAATCCTTAATAAGCTATATATGATTCTTCATTTTTTATAAATGAGGCTTCTTTGATATCATGTGAAAAATATTTTTTAACTCATCTTATAAAGCTAAATACGATTCTATTATAAAATCAAGCTTCTTCAATAGGGGGCACGTTTTTTAGGCATGCCCTATATATTTTTGTAAGGCTAAAGAAAAATGGGAATGAAATAAGAAGAAACACATTTTAGCTTAAAAATATTAACATTCATTATATTTTATCAATCCAAAAATAAAAATATATTAAATATTTAGTCATTTATATAATAAATAAGATAAATAAAAAATAAGATTCTATTATACAAAATTAAAATTAGAAGGATTTTTTGATATTCAAGTTTTGAATACCTTAAAATTTTTTTAGTAAAGATGAATATTTTGAAAATTTGCATTTTATACATGGGGCAGATTCCATCTTTCTCTCGTGTTACACAATTGGAACTTATATAAAAAAAACTTTAAAGATAACATAAATTATATCTAATTGATAAAAAAAAGAATAGATCAAAAAATTCTAATATACCTTTGAATTTCTTGTTGAACTTTTATGAATTTCCTCTAACATTTCAATTTCATCTTTGTTAGCTTTTTGTTTTTTAACAATTTTAGCCTTTTTTGCAATGCTTTGGTCAACATTTCTTTCTTTAGTTTTTTTGTTCACTTTTTGATCTTTACCTTTTAGCAAAGAATAAAATAATTCTTAATATATTTTGGACATAAAATAATATTGAATAATTATAATATAAATAAATACTATTTTCTGGAATAATATTGGTAACTAAAGTAGGTGTAATTTCTTCTCTTTCAATATCAAGGGTTATATGTTGAGTTAAACTCTTTTTGATTCAAAATACATTTATATAATAATTTTAAATTTTTTATACCTTATTATTGGCAGATTTTGAATTAAAATATTCATTTGCAGTTATATTTCTACATTTAACTTTGGAGGATATATTATCTTGATCTACATGTTGCAAACTATTGTCATGTATAAAAAAATACCTTTTTTAGGAGAGCAATTTTCATCATTTATAGATTTTATCATTTTTAAATCTTTATTGTATATTGCAATATTTTTCCCCAATTTTTTGGGCATATTGGTTTCTTCATCTTGATAGGTTCACATTATACAATTATAAAATTTTGAATTTACCAGATTCAGAAGAAATAGTATTTACACTCAAATTTTTTTTCCTGCTTCTCATAATTTGAGGCAGAGGCTCTTCATCTTCTGAGGTATGATCTATACGGCATTAAAAAATATATAATATAATTATTTTGTACTTGATAATAAAGAAGCCTTCTTTTTTTTCTATAAATAAGATGAAGATATATATGAAAATATAATACTAAAAAAATTACTGTTATTTTGTTTGACAATTGTTTTATATCCTTATTTCCAAAATATTTTCTTATATCCTATAATTAATAAGAGTATACATGTCTAATCATGAATATTAATACCATTAGCCGCGGATAGAATTCAAATCTATATTTAATCTAACGAGGAAAATTTAGAGAATTTTATACGTCATAAAATATAGTAAGTTACTAGAATTATTAGGTATGATTTAATAAAATATTTTATATTCTGCACTTCAAGCAAATGCGTTAAAAAAGAATTTTATTGCAAAAATATAATAAAATCTTTATCTTATCGCATTCATATTTCCGCTTCTATCACTCGATATTTCGTAGTGTCTCCAAATTTATTCTTCGATTAAATAATCTGCCTGTAAAAATTTTTGTATGTAATATAAATTTATGCGCTCAGCCCACTAATTAGTTTATAAAAAATATCCAATATGGTCAAATTAAATCTATTAATGCTACTTAGCTGCTTATATCTAGAAGTAAAAAGTTAACATATTTTTTTTATGATAGGCTGCCTATATTTATTACTTCATGTAATATAAAATAACAAAGCTATAATGTATTTATAAAAATACGTGATACGTGATGAAAGCGTTTTCGCCCTCTTGTAGTGGATACAACAGAGCTACGTTGAATTTTCCTTAAAATCCATCAAACTGAATATTTAATTTGAAAAATGAGGAGCCCTTTACACGTTTGTAGTCAAGCCGTAAGTACTTGTACGCTCAACAGTCCGAGAACTATTGTTTAAACGTCTATAGGCTAATAACAGAAGATTTGGGCAAAACAAAAGCTTATACCCGGGAACTACAATATAATTTAATTACTTTAAGGGTGAGTGGTGACAAATTTAAGTTTAAATTCTCTAGTGTAAGTCCTAAAGACTCTCGATATTGAAATTTAATGTTTATAGCATTTGCAAATTATCCTAAAAGAGGGAAACGAGATTATAAATATATTATTTAACTTCTCGTGAATATCTTAGATCGATTTATATTTTTATCTTAGAATTCTACTATTTGTTGTACATCCATTTGCATCGGAAAACCCAAACCAATGATAGACCCAAACCCCAATTATATAAATACGTGATACGTGATTTATAGCGCTTCTGCCCTCTAGCGATGAAGGTTCAACAGAGCTACGCTAGGTTTTCCTCATTTCCATTTAATTGGAAAAATTTTAATTTGGGTATAAAAGTAAAAATATGAGGAGCCCTCTACACGTTTGTGGGCAAGCCGCACGTACTTGTAGGCACAAAACCTCTATAGGCTTATTAAATTGGAGTGGGGCAAAAAAAAAGCCTATACCCGAAGAACTACAGTATAATTTAATTACTTTAAAGGTGGGTGATGGCTGATTTTAAGCTTAATTTCTTTAGTGTAAGTTATAATTACTATCAATATTGAGATATAATGTTCATAGAATCTGTAAATAAATATGATTAAAATAAAATAATATTTACCGTTCTATCACTTAAAATAATTTTCTTTTTACCTACAAATGTGTTTTATATAAAATAGCCGATGTCTGTCAGTGTCACATCAAAATTTTAATAACATATTTAGTTAACCCATGATACTAGATAAATTATAAGTTTTTATGTCTGATAACCATCATATTAATCTATCAAAAATACCTATTGGGGAAGTTAATCACTTGGATTTACTATCAGACAATATTGGATCGTTGTATCTTAATGAAGAATATTCAGATGTAGTTTTTATTGTGGATGGTACAAGATTTCATGCACACAAATTTATACTAGCTTCAAGGAGTGAATACTTTAGGTTATTACCTTAATTTATCTGTAACCTATATAATTTTGTGTTTAAAAAATAGAGCCCTTTTATATGGTGGAATGAAAGAATCTTTGCCAGATTGTAATGAAATAGAATTAAAAGATGCCCCAAATCAAGCATTTAAAACATTACTCAAGTATATCTATACTGGGAAAATGAACTTAACTTCTCAAAAAGTAATTCTATTTTATTCAATTATTATTTTTTTTTCAAGATAATTATTTTCTTATGTATAAAATACATGCAACTTAAAATTAAATTATATCAGGCTCAACAGGAAATTATATAAAAATATTGTTCAGTCTGGATGGTCAATATTTTAGCAAGATTTGTTCAAACCAATTTAATAAGAGTACAAGATAATGGCACCCTTAAGATTTTTTATTATAAACATCCCTCTGGCTAAACTGATTTTTATAGGTCGATTGGATCTGATATTAGTGTTGTCAAGGGCCCATTTTTGATATTACATGTTTATAAAACAGAATTTAATAAAAATAGAAATATCTAGGGATCTACCAATATCTTTAACAGATTGAACAGATATTTTGTCTTTTTAAAAATATTATCTCCCAATTATATAAAAATTTTTATCCAATCCAATAAAATTGTTTATTACTTATGTAAATAAATTAATGTTATATAAATAAGTGATTTATCATTAAAAATATTTTATAATAAACTATAATTTATCATTACAATATATTTAAAGGACTTATGTTATTGTATAATTAAATTATAGATGTTATACTATTAAAAAGTATATGAGATGCGTAGATATATGCATTAAAATTTAAAACCATAATATGTTTACAGACTATAGATCAGTAATTGGCAATTATCAATTTAATAATTTCAATATTGAATTGGATCAGCTTCCAAAAAGTACTTTTGATGCACCCCTAGAGATAGCTATATATTTATCCACTGAGGCTATTTTATTCATCAATTGTTTGTTTTTTTTGGAATTTATTTTTGCAAACTGCAGGCAATTTTTTAAAATTCTTTTTGTCATAAGAAAGATAGATATTTTTTACATGATGTATTTATTATGCTAAAAATTCCCCCTGTTGAAGATTTTAATGAGTAGTCGAAAATACAAAATTACATAATTTTCTAAGGTTTGAGATATGGGTTAGATTTCTAATATCAATCGTTTTTAGAAGGCATATATCATTAATTTATCATGAAAATAATTCAGTATAAATAAAAACTCCAGGAAAAGTATAGAAAAAATCATACTTTTTTGAAAGATCCTAAAAAATATTTTAAAATTTAAAAAAAATTAATTAGCGTGGAAAGAAATATTCATTAAAATAATATTTATTTGGAGGAAACAGTCGAGTGAAGATTATATCTTATTAATTTTTTTTAAGGCTGTACCCTAAATGTTTTGAAAGAACCTCAAAATTTATAAATCATTAAAAATAGCTTGTTATATTTTTCTTAATGTTAATAAATTTATTTATATTAATTTTTTAGATTTAGGACACAGCCTAATGAAAATTTTAACTTTTAAGTAAAATTTTAAATATTTAAATCAAAAATATTTTTTAAAAAATATTTATATTCAGGCACATTTTTTATAAATTTGCCCATCTATTTAAGTAGGAGAATCTGGAATATAATTTTTAACCTGGGTTAGATGGGTCAATCTAGTATTGTTAAGGGGCTCGATTTGAGATTATTTTTTAAAATTACTAACCTAATATTTAATCTCAAAAAATATTACACAAGCCTGAAGATTTTTCTCATAGATGGTACAAAGGTCTAGACATCTATTCAAGTCTCGGGGCCTATTTTTCTGGCTAAAAAATTAAGTTAATTGTTTTTAAAAATCGGCTCAAAATGAGCCGTTTAACAACATTATGTCACGCTTTTAGTGATGATCCGTTTTACCTTTCCAAAATCCCATTTATTTTAACATTCTCGTCATGCATTTATTGATGCAAAATATTAGAAATAATTATATTTGATTCAAGTTTGAATGCAAATTTGATCCTTTTTTTCTATAGGAGGAAACGCTATTGGAAACACTAGGCCTTGCCAACCAATATGGGTTTACTCATCTCGAATCTTCCATCTCCGATTATTTAAAAGCTATTTTAACCGTGAAAAATGTTTGCATGATATTCGACATGGCAAATTTATACAGGCTTTCGTCCCTCAGGGAAACCTGCTTTCAGTTCATGGATAGGCATTCGACCGAGATCCTTGATAACAAAATTTATCTTTCACTCTCCGCGGTAAATTTTAAACTATTTTCTTGATGTAAATGTTTTTGTTTTGTTCCTAAAAAATATGTGCACGAAATGTAATCCGCAAGCTGATTTTGATAACAGAGACCAGCAGATTTGAAACAGGCCTAAAAATGGTATTTTTTAAAAAAGCTGGGCTGCGCCAGATCGATTTAAAATTAAAGCAATTAATCTATTGAAACAAGTAAAATACAGTCGAAATTACGAAATTTTAATAAAAATTGTGCTTGAAAATTTTTTGAAGTCCTGACCAGGCTTAATATTTTGACATCTGTGTGTATCCAATTGATATACTGTCAGTGAAGATTATTAATAAATAAAACTAATTTTATCCAATAAAAAGAAAATAGAAAAAAATAGCACCAATCTTTTAACTTCACAAATTTTTTATAGTTAATGAAATAAAACAAGATTTATATTAGAGCTCTTCACCCAACCAACATTTAAAAATAACTTGCTCGCCAAACCCTCCCATTGTTTTAAAAATTTTTTACCCATCCACACATTATTTTGAAAAAAATTTTAACTCATGCTTCCTCATATAAAATTTAAAGATTCCCTTTCTTTCAATTTTATTAAGCATCTAATAAAAAAATAGATTCATTTTCAGCTTTACACCCCTACAAAAAAGTTTGATAATTTAAGAAATTGCTATATTAAGCATAAAAAAATATTCAATTTAATTTAAATTATGGATAAGGATTTTGATAAATAAAATATTCATTGATATTTGTAATTATAATGCAAAAATAATAATGAATCCACATTTTCTGGATTCAAAAAGGTTCTTCTTTGTTGTAAAAATCTTGCAGCAAATCCTCATTTAGAAACACTAGTTGCTGAAATTGCCAATATTTTTAGCCTTTTTCTTGTCGTTTCCACTAAAGTAGGATATCCCTTTAAATATCCTCTTCCTGTGAGATTTTTAAATAAAAAGTGAAATAATTATTAATAAATTTTAAAAAGTAAATTAAATTAATGTATATAAATTGTAAACTAAGGTAGGTAACAGAATCTTGCTAAATTATACAAATCAAACTCGTTTCTTTAAGATTTATATATTTTATTTAATTAGATACTGTTCTTAACCTCATCTCACATCATTTGTGGTTTACTTTTGGCCTCTATTTCAAACATTGCATTTGTAATTTAAATCAATTATCTTTGTTTTTGGAGAAACTGGTAAAATCAGATTTGCACCCATGTAGGGGTGGGACCAATACCAATATAATATTGGTTTACAATACCAATACCAATATAAACCAATATATATTTAAATATTGGTATTGCTTTTACAACCAATACCAATTACCTAAATATATTGGTTTTGATATATTGTTTAAATACAATTTTAACCAATACCAATACCAATATTAAAAATATCATAATTATTTGGGTTTATCGTGGATAATTATATTGTGGTATTTTTTTTACTTTCATTGCAAAAACTGATTACATCTGTTATTTCTTCCAAATACTACTGTGATATCAATATTTCTGTTATTTATATTTATAGTTTATTTTTATTATGGAAGTAAATTTTTTACATGATATCTATCAATTTTATCTATTTATTTAAATAAATGTAGACCAAATAGAGTTATTAAATATAGATGCTGTTGGTACTAATAATAATAGCGATAAGGAACAAGAAGAATTATCAATATCTAATAAAAGATGAAATTTAGCAAAAATCTGGGAATTTTATACTACTTGTGATAATAAAAAAAAGGCAATTTTTAATAAATGTAAAAAAAAATATCACTTCCCAATTTTGGAACCTCATAACAATGGACATTTGGTCCTCTCCAAATAAAATACCCTTTATGGGCATAACAATTCATTATATTGATAATGATTTTAAATTAATTAATCATTTATTAGATTTTATTCCTTTTAAATCAGCACATAATTATATAATTCTGTATTAAAAGTAAAATTTGAAATTGATTTTTTTTGCATTACATTAGACAATGCAAGTAATAATTTAGCATTTCTAAAAATTTTAAAACAAAAAGATAATTTTGATAATGTGTGCAAATGCTTTTGCCATATTTTACATTTGGCTGTCATGGCTGCATTGGAACCCTTAAATACAACTTTAAAAAAAATAAGAAATTTTTAAAAAATTTTTAAACTTTTTATATCTAAATTTGATAAACTCGAAAAAATATATCTTGAAAAAAATCCACACTTAAAATTTCCTCACCCAATTTTGCATATACCAACACGTTGGAATTCAACATACCAAATGCTTGAAAGAGCAATATTGCTCAAACCCTATTTGACAACATATACCAATCATTTACAAAATACCAATCAAGAAAATTATATTAGTGCCTTAGCTTGGAATAATATAGAAATATACCGAGAATTTCTGGAACCATTTAATTTTGCTACAGAGATGGCCTCATGTGCTAATACTCCAACAATTTCAACAATTATTCCTTTTATATTCCAGTATCTTTGAGCATGTGGAGAGTTATAATAATAATCCTAGTGCTATTTTAAAGACAGCTTCTTTAGCTGCCTTAACAAAACTTAATAAATACTATAATTATAATACATACCTCTTTATTATTTCAACAATGATTGACCCAAGATTTAAACTATCAAGTTATTTATTAAAGCATAATAATATGGAAACTCTTATTGGATATCTTACTAATGAATACAATATTTTTAAATAAATAATAACAATTCAGCGGAACTTTCAAATGAAGCACAAAATAACAAAAAATTATCCTTTTATGACAAAATTTATCAGGTGAAACCTCATAATAATAACAACTTAGAAATAAGTAAATACGTAGATGAAGCCACAATTTCCAATGATACAAATCCATTAGATTGGTGGAAATTAAATAAAAATAGATATCCAGTATTATCAAAAATTGCCAGAGATTATCTAGCAATTCCGGCCACCTCATCTAGCTCTGAAAGGGCTTTTTCAGAAGATCGCTATGTTATAACAGACCAACGTTGTTCACTAGATGAGCATACTATACAAGCTTGTCTGTGCCTAAAAAGTTGGATGCGCATGCAAGATTCTTCTTAAATACATAAAATTATTTCCTCTTCTTATATTAAAATTATATCATTCTTTTGCATTATATTTTGTATATAAATAGACAGTTATGTTACATTTTTAGTTTACTTATTTTGCTATGTTCTTTGTGATAAATAAATTGGTTCAAATACAATACGTTTATTATTGTTGATACAAAAAATGCATGATTAAATCAAAATTTTTTATATTCACATCACCTAATAAATTCCTAGTTTAAAAAAAGAATTTGAATTCAATAAAATTTTGAGAGTTGGTTCTTAGCATTGATTTTATGGTATCATGATTTTTTTTCCCATGTTTATTTAAAATTAGAAATTAAGGGTTTTATAATCACTATTTCTATTCTTTTAATTAGTAATTTGAATTTAAACCAATACCAATATAAACCAATAGTTACCAATATAAACCAATACCAATAGCAATACCAATACAAGAAATAGAAAATATTGTTTAAACCAATACCAATATCTTAGACCCAATACCAATACAATATTTTGTTAATATTGGGTTTTTACTATTGGTTCCCAGCCCTACACCCATGTCTATATTATATTCTTCCACGCAAATTAAATCCAACATGTTTTCGACATTTTTTTTTTCATTAATTTCTTCCGGCGACAGTAGGAACTTTGGTATTAATATAATTTTATGGAACATATTTCTTTATATTTTAAATAACAAATAAAAGTTAAATTTCCATTGTTTAAATTTTTTTAACCCGTTGTCCCATTCCATTGTAAATTTATAATTAATATTTCATATAAACCAATTTTCCCATATATATTTCGAAAAAATGGATTTGCTCATCTAAAATAAAATTATAAAGTGGTTCTTTTTTTATTATTAAAAAATAATAATATGTAAATATATCTGTTTTATAAAGATAAATAAATATTGTTTTTTTTAAATTTAGATGCACATGTTAGTTATTAATATTCGTATTATAAATTTTAATTTATTTTGAAATAACATCAAATATTTTTGAATTGATGCTAAAATTTAACCTCGTAATCTTAATTATCCAAATATATTTTTTAGATTTTTATTATCAAAACTAATAAAAAATAAAATAGATCTTAAAACCAGAGTACTGGATTAAAAGTTCTAGGAACAGAACTTTGAGTATCCTACCCGTTTTTATTAAAATTGGATGTAACTCTTTAATTTTATTTTATTAAATTCAATTGAATAAAACCTCAAAATAGTAAAACAAAAACTAAAGTCATGGCAAAATATTTTATCTCTCTGAATTTTATTTGGTCACAGGTCCAAATGGAGGTTTTGCAAAATTTTTTAAAAGTTTGGTCTCTTTTTTTAATATCGAGTTTTTTCCGCTATTTTATTTTATTGTTCCGGGTTTTAACTTTTCACTATTTTTAATAAACTTCTTTAAGATAAATGTATAATATATTTTAATACCAAATTGATTCGATAAAATTTGATAAGTTAAATCATTGAAAAGTCACCAATATCGCTTGTTTTTGTTTATACATATCCTTATTGATTTAGAAATTATTATTTTTCTTGACAAGAAATTAGGACTATGTCGATACACAAATTTTGCACGATTCTTTATTTTACAATCAGATATTTACATTGATTTTTATTTTACCTATCTATCTTATAAATATAATTGTAAAAAATGAATATTTTCTGTACATAAAAAATAACTAACCCACTTTGAAATTTACCGTTTTCCAGGGTCAAAATTTAAGACATTTGATGCATTATAACGAGTGATTACGTGTATTTAAAATATGACAAAAAATACAATTATTATTTCAAATCGGATCTATTTTTTAAATCCGATTCGATTCTCGATATCTAATATCAGCACACTCCGAACTAGGCCTACAAAAAAACGAATTTGAATCGAATAATTTATTATTCATATTTATACAATAAAATCATTATTCGATTCGATTCGAAAATTTTTCTAAAGCTTATAAAAGATATATAATTTTTTGCAAAATAAATTATAAACACAGCTAATGTTTTAATCATTAGCATATATATAACAGAAAATAAACGAAATAAAACCCAATGATTTCATATAACATTATCCAAACAATGGCCAAAAATGTTCGATTTTTAGAATTAGAATTACTTATAAAAAATATTTAAATTATTTCTTCTATAAATTTATTAAAATTTTCTAAAAATGTACAATAATCTCATTTTATAAACATCAAAATATAATACACAAAAAAATGCTAGATCCGAATTTGATAATAACCAGTTTTTTAAGCATAAAGTCTTTCTAATAGTCCTCCTTCAAAGACATTCTATTTTTTATTATCATAATTGTTCCTATTGAGAACAACCGCTCACATGAAACCGACGATCCCTGAATTGACAATATATCAGTTGCCATTTTCGATAACACAATAAAACGATCCCCATGCAATCTCCACTATTATAGCGGACTTTTTTAGAACTGATTCTTAATTCCTTAAGATATATGTTTCCACCTCACATATTGATGCGATGTTATTCTGCTTGAAAATTCTATCCATGTTCGACTGTACTATTGCGCTAACTCATGTTATATTGATATTATAATTCATTTTGTATTCATTATATACATCCTTAAATTTTTAATAGAGTTGTTGTATCTATTATATGATGTTGGTTTCAAAAAATTCCATTTTTAGTTTATGATCTAATATTGTTGATATTATAGTATCAATATTTGTTAAGTTATATTAAATCTATTTTCTCAATCGCGCTGATAGCATTTATAAAATTGAGATCTAACGAATTTAAACGATTAACGACTTGTTCATAACACCAAAAATGATTAAAAAGAAAAGAAAATAATTATATTTTAGTTTACTTTGTTGGGACGTCCCTTTCCATAACTTTATCAGAAAATAAATTATGTATGATTTGATAATAAGAAATAAAATAAAATAAACAAAATGATATCCACTAGGAAAATTTTATTACTTCATTTTTATTACACTTACACTAAAATATTTACGAAAAATTAGGAATATTTATTAATAAATCATTTCGAATAATACGAATAGCACAATTATTCGATTCGAAATACGAATTGAATCGAATTTCGAATAACAAATAATTCGTTTTAGGCCTACTCCTAACAAGTACGCTTTGGGAAGTACTAATATAACTCATGTAGGTAGACTATTTTTAAACCATTATTTTTAAAAATTGAAAACAAAACTGTTATTGATTCAAAACACAAAATAACTATCTTCAAATAACAAATATTTACAAAAGTATATTTCACCTTCAATAAAAGTAACACTGTGTAGTTTTGTAAAAAAATTTAAAGTCGCAATATAACTGAGTTCTATCTAACAAGTCCTTGCAAACGGATGGGGAAGGGGGACGAAATATTTATGTTTTTTACAACTTCCTAAAAATGAACTATACCTTATCTAAAAAAATGATATTTGCTTTGATTCATTAATAACCCCCGCTAAGTTGTACCGCATCTATTTTCTACTTAATTTAATGTAAGAGAATATTTGCCACTTATTCATATAAAACTATCCTCGTCTTAAAATCTTTTAACTATGATAAACGTAAAATGTTTCTTAAATACATTCAGATTACTTAAGGCTCAAATTAGTCTAATTATTGGTAAATAAATTAAATATTACTTTGAAATAATTTTTTTTATTCACAGTATAATAAAATTATTTTCTCATAATCGCTCAGCCCGCCATGCACGACATGATTCGTCGAGATTCGTTCTGCTCGCCTGAGGTTGGTATATTCTTGGCCGTGCGGGAATGGGCCCGGTCCAATCCAGAACTCGACCCGACACCTGTTCTTTCAGCCGTCAGATGCCCGCTCATGTCACTACGAGAGTTGGTCGATTGCGTCCGACCAACCGGACTCGTGCCGGCTGATACCCTGCTCGACGCTATACGCGAAAAGTTGGAGAAACGTAATTGCGAACTTAGTTTCAGGGGATTATTAGGTATATTAGATATAATATGAAAAAATAAATATGAATAATTTTAAGGCAGAGAATCGACTTTTGGCGCTCTCTAATAAGCGATTTCTTATAATATGGCTAAAAACCATATCGTTTAATATATTTTTATATCCTTTAATACTATTTTTCTCTAATTAGTTCCCCATATAATAATATTCTTCCAAAATCTCAAATATTTGGCATCGAAGTATGACTCATGATCCGTTCTTATTAAATAATTTATAAATAGCGGCCGGTATTAGGGGGCGTATAACCACCTGAAAATTTTGAAGCGCTTCCATTTTTTTAGCTAATTTTATATAGAATTTCTGCTAATTTCGAAAATTAAATTTTATACAAGATTGCTTATATATCATTTTTTCCCTTACTCCAAAGTTCCCGAAGAAAACGTAGCCACTTTTAGGCATGGAGCTCACGTTATTCTAGGCGAAAAGCGTAACGCGCTTTTAGACGGTGATACTCAAAATTATGATTTGGATCGAGGATTTACTCGTCATCCCATTGAAGACCCTAGTCCCTTAATTGTGACTACCGTAGCATCTCCTATCGCCAGTACCAATGGGTATAAATATTGTATAGTTTTTAAGTGGAGATAGTGGTGGGAGGGGGGGGGGGTATAAATTATCTATAGATAGTAAAGGATGGATGATTATCATTAAATAGAAAAATAATGAAAAATTTAATTATAAAAATTAAATAAAGGATTTAGAATAAAATTAGACCAGGTGTCTTGATTGACTACCAAATATAAACTTATAGTTTTTTTTAACTCAATGTTGATAGGAATTTTCTTGATAAAACGTTTAAAAAAACATATACTATACTATAAAATATATAAAATTCGACGCTTATTTTTGTTTTAGTCTTGCTGTTAAACCTTTGGATTTTTCCAATTGAATAAGACCAAACATATGTGCCAAAAAGAGTATTTATTTTTTGGTATAAAAACTCCTTCTTTGCTTTACTCTTTTTTGTTTTTATTAATAATTTTGAAATCAATTAGCAATCACCTTCACCACACAGACAATAAATTATTGAGTTAGATATAAAGAATCTTGAGGACTGCCAAAAATTGATATATTGAGTAGATTTCACGGATTCGCAAATTGGGCCCAAAGTTCAAAAGAGCGTTATCACTGTTTTATATTTGATATATAATCTTAACCCTGTATTGCATGTACTCTGTTAGAATAATTTTTTTTTGGCAAACTAGATACTATTGATAATCTCATGGCTCACTTTTTTAAAAAAAATTCTAAATTTCTTAGAAGATGAACGGTATGTGGATTTAAATACACATTATGCAATTAAGGATACAAATTTCAATTATTTCCACAATAATTTTTATTGTACTTTAAACTATAAATATATAAAATTTTATTTAAATACAACAAATATTAAAGGTTTAAACATTTTAATTTTCATGAAAATCTATAAAACAATTATTTGTGGGCGTAAAACATAAATATACACCACATTTTTTGCAAGATACTTTTGTTATAAATAAGCATCCTGGCATTTTACATCTACCCTTCTTATCATTATATTTTGGCCAATGAGCCGTGAGGTCTTTCCTAACCTCTTCAAGTGGTAAATATTAGGCTGGTCCTTTTTCACATTTTTCCCGATAACCAGTTTGAACTGATTTTCGTTTTGGTATATTGTTTGAAGTGCATTTGCCATATTTGCAAAGGACTTCCGCCAATGAAATTTTGAAATTTAATCGATCCTTGCGTGCTATTGATATACTATTACAATCACGTTTATATAGCAACCATGAATTTATAAGTAACATGTCAAACATATGAAATAAAATTCTATGGTACCATTTTCTTGATTTCGTATGAATTCTATATAAGGAAAGTAAAGAATCCATGAGATCTACACCTACCATTGATTTATTATCAAAAAATCCTCGCCTTTTTTTTAAACTCCTTATCTGTTGGGAAGTTTATATTTGGAAGTCGATTACCTCTGACCGTGGCCGCGCAAAATATCCCTCTTTGAGCGAGTACGACTAGCAAATTTGGGGAACTAAACCAGTTATCAAAAAATAATTTATAATTAATTTGCTGCGGTATATAAGAAATTAAACGGAGCACAGCATTGCCACTTGCTCCAACATCAGGCAATCCTTCCGCTGCTAGTATTTACCCAGAATATATTTCAAAATTATGCAGAAGGCCATCATCTCCGCATATTAGAAATACTTTATAGCCCCATTTTTTGGGCTTTTGAAGGTTATATTGTTTCAACCTGCTTATCCCTTTGTATGGAATAATTTGCTCATCTACGCAAATGTTTTCGTTTATCGATAAAGATTTTAGTATGTTATTGGTTAGAGTTATTAGGGGTCTAATTTTATGTAGTGGGTCATGGCCTTCACTTCCAAGTGGAATTCCAAATTATTTTTTTCCTAGTTCATTATTGATATTTTCTTTTTCTTCCGAATCATCTGTCTCATTGAAATCTATATATTTATAGATTATATAAGAGCATAAATTTTAAATATACCTAAATCATTATTTTGTGTTGATAGAAACTCCTCATCAGACGTTTCACTTAAATTTGAATCTTCACTATCATTAGGTATGTCACCACAATTCATAATTCTAAAAATATAAAACTCAAATAAAATACCTTATTTGCATAATGTGTCTTAAAAACCACGTATGATTATTACAAAATATAATTATCAAAAATAATAAATATATATAAAATAATTTCATAAACATTTATTTTTATTTATTCATCTAATTTTAATGTTTTGAAATTTGTCAAATATATTATTTTTCCTTTTTCGATGGGTAGAAAATTGAGAAGAAAAATTTTATAAAAAAAATAGCCATTTTCAAAAATAGGGTTTATTAAAATGCGAAATTAAAAATAAATAATAGATTACGTGGCTCAAATTAAAATTCCAATCGAAGATATAGAATATGGCTTCAAATATACACCATGCAATTGATTTAAAATTTATTTATAAGATATTTATTATACAATTTGTAGTATGTGGAATGAGATACACAGTATGCAATACAGGGTTAAATTAATGGATGTAAGTGTGATCTTAAAGTTTTCGTAAAAGTATAGAAAAAAATAATATTGTAAATGTGAAGGCGTTAAAGGGGAAGTATCATTGGTGGGATATTATATTTGCGAATATAAATGGGTGGGGGTTAATATGTATGTTCTGGAAATATTAATCTCCTCTTTGAAAATAGAATATAGAGCACGCCATAGCAGAGACAGTTTTGTAATATACTTAATTTTCCTTTTAGAATTAGAATGGGTCGTATTTGTAAATATCAAGTTTATTTAACTACACCATTTTTATGGATGTAATTATTATTTAAAGATATACGTGCCACAATTAGTTAAGAATTTAATTTATTCCCCCGAACACGTTATAATTTATTAATACAAAATTGACATTTAGTCTCCATTAGGACTGGGCTGATCCACATATTTTTCGTTGATCGATATTACTAAAAAACCGATCCGATATTTATATTGAATGTTTGTTACCATCTATTTTTGAATCAATATCATAAAAATATCAATATTTTCTATTTTTAAAAATGAACTAACTTTCACGAATTATTAAATATATTTCTTTTTTTTATTCTCCAAAGGTTATTAATCTCATTAAAAAATATTTACAATATTTATAGGTGGTGGTGTTGTTAAACATCTCCATTTAGCCTATTTTTAAAAAGGACTAAATCAAGATTTTAGCACGTTTGCCAATCCAATCTTTTTTGCCTTCTGTGAGCAAAATCACTTGATTAATTTACTTTTTAAACGTAATCTTTAGATAAACGTTTTTAAAAATTGGTTAAATCAAGCCGTTTAATAACACTAGCTGAATTTGACTCGTTCGTTAGATATTTTAAAATCCTTTTCTTGTTTCATATAATATAACAAAAAATAATGAAAAATTTTTAACTATTTTTTTAAACATTACAACAAATAATTTGTATTTTAGTTCCTTTCATTTATTTATTATTATGATATTATAAAATAAATAAAAAATATGATTATATATACCAGAGACCTGCAACCCCTGCTCGGGTACACGGGCTAGGCCATATTAAAATTTTTTAAATACCCGGGCCGTTCTAAAACCTAATATTTTGAATCGCTATTATTAGCTGTAAAAAATATATATAATATATTTTAAACCAGGCCGGGCCGTGCAAATGGTACCTCTGCAGGTCTTTGATATATACAATAATAAAATAAGCAAAAACAATTTTAAAAAAAATCGGTCCCACCCCATTTTTTTTGAAAACGTTAAATATTGGCGCCGATCCGATATTTAATATAAGCACCCTTGTTCATCGAGAACCAAAATCCACCTATTTCTAAAGACTTGAACCTGTTCCTTCCACTCCGCATTAGATTTAACCAGGCCAGATCCTTTAAAAGGATCGGACCTACCAGACCGGTGCCCATTAATTTTCGAAGCCAGTTGAACCTGCTAAAACCGATCGACGATGCAAGATAAGGATAACTATATGTCTATTTTTAAATTTAAATGTTTATGTTACACGATTGATTATAATGGCGTGGCTTAAATAATGACAGAGCTATCGCAAGCCCTACTGCTACTCCATCCGGAATTGTAATTAAACTCGGAACCCAATGCATTATTAATCACATCAAAATTTTATTGTGGGATAAAGATCAGCGGTAACATTACATATAATCTTAATTCCACTTTACAAAATATTATAACTGTATTATGTAAAAATTAATTTAAACACAATTAAATTTAGATAATTCTCTAGATTTATTTGCAATTATAATGTTAGGTTGGTAAATTACATTTTAAATAGTATTAGAAAATGTGAACTCTTGTCATAAATTTTTTTAAATTTAAGGTTAGGTTGAGAAATTAGATTTTTTGAAATAGTATTATTGTAGCTTCTTATATCAGATTTGTATAAACAAATAGTATTAGAAAATGTGAACTATTGTCTTTACTTTTTTTTAAATTTAGGGTTAGGTTGAGAAATTAGATTTTTTGAAATAGTATTAGTGTAGTTTCTTATATCAGATTTGTATAAACAAATAGTATTTTAGGTGTTTATATCAATTTAAAATATGCAGAGCCTATTCTTATTATATCGAAACATCAGTGGACCAAGCTGATTGGGTCAGAGTAGTCGATCATTCCCAATATCTCTGTAGATCTTGGCAAAATTTATATTTTTCTCCCAGGGTTGTTAGGTTTATTTATTTACATTTTTTAGATATATATATACTGTAATATCATCATCATTTATTATTCAAATTCCTATCAAATTATATAATAATAAAAATAAATTTTATAAAAAATAAAAAAACAACAATTTAATACATATCATATACTATATTTAAATCTTGTAATTATCCTACAATACAATATTACAAATATAATTTAACATATAAAGTTCATTTTATAAAATATTTATATATAATTTTTTTAAAAAAAAGGTTTATTAGGATAGTTGGCACTCATAATACAGTGAATAGGGTATTTCATATCATCCACTTCGAAGCTATGTACACATGCAAACCTTATAAATTGGTAGATGGACTCGTGTGTAAGTTATATTGATCTCAATACATTTTATTATCATAATAAAAATAATCTTTTAAAAATATATATTTTTTTTAGGAGTACTATTTATTGTTAATGTAACTCATAAATTTTTCCAGAATTTTCCTTAGTTTGGAGAGGGATTTTGGGTGGCCTTTCAACCCCATATTTTATTGAAACTGAATTTCCCCCTTGACACGTTTGTGATGTTATAATAGTTACTTGGAGGAACTTTAAATATAATTAGGTACATTTGAAAAGATAACTTTGGCCTGTAACTAGGTATATTTTTGGACATGATTATAAATATAAATTTATTTTTTAAAAAGTAAAAGTTCAATATAAATATTTTATTATGAATATATCCTTATTCATTAACAATTTTAATTAATCTTTTTCAATTAAAGTTTAAACATAAATCTAATTTGTGATTGCATTCTTCGCCAATATTAACATTTAGAAAATCAAAAATTTACTATTATTAACCTTAACTATACTATAACAGGTAATAACTATTAAGTTACTTTTTTCTAAGAATAATTGTGAGATCATTTGTGTTCCAGGATATTTTATTTTTATAACACATTTCTACTACGCAAACAAATGCAGGCCCGAACGAAAACGTCGCTGCTCTCGCCGGTAGCGCATGCGTTATAGAGGGCGTTAGCAGGTGCCGGAACGCTCTCATAAACGGAGACATTAAAAATTACGATTGGGATAGTGGCTACACTTGCCACCAATTGGGTAGCGGGTGCATCGTTATTCAACTGGCTCAACCATTTTACGTCTCTTCCTTCAGGTAAAGAAAATAATGGAAGAGTAGAAAGGAAGGAAAAGGAAATAAGCAGGCAATATTATGAATCGCCGATTTTGTTGATTGGTTTTTACTACAATTCTCTTTTTACATGAAAGAATTGTCATCCTGATTTTCGAAATCTATAAACAATTAATCAGGCCCTACGACATATCTTTCAACCTTAAATTAAAAAAATTTGCAAGCAGAAAATGTTAAATTTAATTTTAGAAATTTTGTAAATTATAAGAGATTATGGAAGTTAAAGGCTAAAATCGGTAAAACTTCGCATTTAGATTCTGCATTCTGGGTTTTATTTAAAATTTTATACTATCAACCAGTAGCTGGAACCCGATGGATTCTATGAACCAAAACCTTTGAGCCCTCTTTTAAAATTTATGGGAACCTTTATAATTTTATAAAAATAAGATTACTCCTATGGGACTGCGACGACAGAAGCTACAAATACCACATTCAAACGTCTATTGACCAAGTTAACTGGGAAATGGTGGTAGATAAAAGTAACGAACCTTGTAAATCTTGGCAAAATTTGAACTTCAAACCCAGACCAGTCATATTTATAAGGATAGAAGGCACACATAATACAGCTAACGAGGTTGGATTATGTAACTATTTTATCCAATTACCTGTCATTTTAAAATTTAATTAATGTTTCATATTTGTTTTAAACGAATTTAGGAAAATAATTCCCCAGAAAAAAAAACCCCGGTTTTTAAGATATTAAAAATTACAAAATTAATAAAATAGAATAAAAAATACCCTATAAATGTATGCATGGAATAAAAATCCTCAAATAATATATTTAAAAATTTTAAGAAAATCAATTCCGGAGAATTATTTTCTAAGAATTATTATTGGGGATTTTTATTCCGGAGAATTATTTTTTACCGTTTTAAACAGATACATAAATATTATTTTATTTTTTAAATTGGTTAATAATTTAATTATTGATAAAATGTTTTTGAATAAAGCAGAGCTTGAAAAAAAAATTTAATTTTTGATTTCATCTTGAGAGGTTATTTATCTTTTGAAATTCTAAAATCTCTTTTGGAAATTTTTTTCAGAACATGCACCCAAAAATGTTTTTGTTTTTAGTTCCAGCTATTATCACGCATGTTAACGATGTCGGTATATGACCCCTATTATGATAAATTATTTTAAGAATTTGGACCAAGGCCTGGTGTGGTCTAGTGAGATAGGCGAAAGCTTGATTTTAATTAAGGTTTTGCTCCAAAAATTGAATGCAAAATTTCACAATTATAAAATTAGTGGAGAAACCATTTTTTTATCTCTAGTTGAATTTAATTTAAAGATATAGATTAAATACATTTTTATAAAATTAAATACAACAGAAATTACTTTTGTCCCAATCCTACGGAAATTCGAAGTGTAAATTAATTTTAATAAAAAAAAGAGAAGAAAAAACATTAATTTTACATTAATTAGCCAGACTCGATTTACCCGAGCCCCACCCGACTTTTTTCCCCTATTTTCTGAGCTCTAATATAGGTTAGGTTTATATTTAATGGACTTATAAATCGTCTAAAATAACTTTTCAGTAAGGGCTATTTTCTGACGCTGGTTGCATGTACAGGGATTAGCCAATACAGATTTAAAAAATATATTTTACACAAGTTTTTTGCCTAATTTTTTTTAACCTTCCGGCTTGAAATTATTTCATTAAAATAAAAATAATGAATTTGCATTATTGAAGATTAACCCGGAATTGCATAGTCCCATTTTCTTTTTATATTATATTGCATATATATTCCATTCAAAATTTTACTAGGTGTTCCACTGTGTTCATTTTGAGTGTCCTAACACTTTGATGCTGGAAGTGTTACCTCCATCTCAATTACTCCCAGGAATCAATGTCTATAATACATCTTCCGCTTTACTCCCTTCAGATAATTACTCATCCTTGATACGTAATATAAGAAATTCCGTTACTATGGCTGATACGAACGTGGGATTAAACGACCACTTTAATCATAGTATGCAATCGCAAAATACGTTCACACCTTCCCCCAATCAACTCCTTTTACAAAATCTAGCCGACAATGGAAATGACATCTTAGAAATTGAAATAAATGAAATTGCCAGCGATCGAAATAACGCATCTAATCTCGCTGGTAGTAGTACAGTCGAGAACCTTAGCTGTATCATCAATAATCCAATTAGGCCTATTATCGAAACGCCTAGTTCTGGTCAGTCATCTTCCTCTAGTTCCATGCTAATTACGTCATCTACCACTTCGACATCTTCCCCCCTCTCTTTTTCTTCTGCTAATAACAGTAATCTTATTTTTAACGTCAACAATAACAATAGTTATAACCTTTTAGCCTCGCAACCCCATGTTCAAAATAATAATCGGGCACTCTTAGAACGCTCCGTGAGTGATACCAATCAATCTTTATTCGATACCAATACTCTATTCAACACGAGAGATTCGAATTTTCTTACGACCACCACCCCTAGTTCTGGTCCATATTCGCTCCCTTTCCCTATCGTTCAATCCGTCAACTCACTCACAAACAGAAATATTAATACAGGAAGTGATTTATTAACTAGTGATGTGACGAGCAATTTAAACGATAGTCCAGCTGTTAGAGCTTACACATCGCAATATCTTAATGAACTCGCTTTTTTTCGGAAATGGCAGCGGTGATTCTCATTTTTGCAATCAAATTTATTTTGCCAGCACCTTTTTAATCTAGACAATTCTCCCGTCATTACCTTTAAAAAATAGTTTATTTATTGAATCTTATTTCGATATTGTTGTCATAGAAATGTTATTAAATTGGAATTATCTTTACCCTTTGATAAAACATAAAATGTATTTTATTGTATTTAGTATTAATTTTCGAAAACCGATTTTCATAAGCACCTATAATTATTGATATTATAATTCTAGTTTGTAATGATTTTTTTTTGCCTTTTTTTGTTTTTAAAATAATATACAACTTATTTTTCTTAAATTGTTAGTTTTTTCTTATAATGGATTATTTTAATATGTTTAAATTATTCAAAAAAAAATTATTATCATAAATACAGACAAAATAACTTATTTAAAAGCTCTATTTATATATTTTTGAATTAATTATTATGGAATATACGATAATATTATATATATAGTACATATTTTAAATAAAGTGTAATTTTTTAAATAATAAAACGACAATCTTACTATTTATATAAGTATTTTCCTTCATCCAATAAATAAATGGGTCCTTCGTTTTGACAACGCTTCTTTTTTAGAACAGAAATAAGATAAGAATAATTAATATATTGCATGTTTTTGAGTAACGACATGTAAAATAAAAATTTCAAATTTTTAGGGCTCTGCCGATCCACATATTTTTCACCGATCCGATCCGACATTTTCTGATATTGCTTCAAACCCGATCCTATATTTTTACTGATTTTTAATCACCCCCGTTTGAACTAAATGTAAATAAGAAATCAATATATTTTATGCAAAAAATCGAATTATGAATTTAATTTAATATTTTATTTCTACAATTAAGACTATAACAAAAAAATATATATTTAATAATATATCCATTTTATGTTAGTATGAATTATAAAATTGTAATATTTAATATCAACCCCCCCCCCCCCCCCCCCCATAAGCCAAAAAATTCAGATGCCGGATATATTTTTCAAAAATATTATTGTTTATATTAATTTATATTTGTTAATATTTATTCGTATCTCATATTAAATATATATTTAATTACATTTATTATCATATTTATCTACAAAGTTATTTTATCAATTAATTTCTATTTCAAGCTTTCCGGCGTAATATTTACTTATTATTTTCAAATTTTTAGTGGCGTAATATTTATCTACCATTGTCAAATTTCTAGTCAAGTAATAATTATTTCTGAACTTCTTGTCCAACAGGGAAAAAGAAATTGCAACCTTGTCCAACGAGATCTCTGCCATCAAGCAGTAACAGCTTTTAAGGAGTTAGAAGAGCCAATTATTTGCTATTACTGAAATATCACAATGGCCTGAAAGAAATATTTCCTCAGAAGCAAGAAAATTATTGGATTTAATGCTTATTCCAAATTTTATTTCTCATTAGAATGTATTATTTAATTATACAACTATTTTAAGTATTACTTTTCAAAAACATGACATTGACTTGATTAAGAAGATGAGAATAGCGGAAAGCATTTTATCAGAAACCATGGAAATTAGGGCTAATGTTGATGAAGAATTTCATATTTTATATTTTATTGTTGAGTCAAAAGCAGAGCTATACTTGTTTAATATTTGTCTCTCGACTTGTAGCAAGGCAAGCTCATCGTTAAAACAATATAAGATCAGTAGAAGAGTATATCTTAAATACAGATACATTTATAACCCAAATAAATGAATTTTTAATTCATCATGCAACACTTACTAATCTGCAAATATTACTTCCACAAAAGCCTTCCCAACTTTTTCAGATGGTGATAGAAAAAAAATATTTGTTAGATTTTTATTATGAAGATGTTAAAGTATCTTATGATGCCTTACTATCTGAATAACTATGTTTATAAGATTATCTATGGTTGATATAGTCCCAAAAAATTTTATGGATGCTCTGCATTATTTCAAACACATTTTAGATTAAATTCCCAATGTATTAAAAGGGTTTATAAACTCTTCCCATTAGTAAACTAATGAGAGAACATTCTCTTTTTTAAGAAGAATAACAGAGGCCTGCAAAAGTACCATTTGCAGGGCACGGCCCGGATTTTTTTTAAAGATTTTTTACGGCCCGGCCTGGGTATTTTAAAATAATTTTCAGGCCCGGCCCGGCTTTTTTTTTAGGCCCGACTCGGTTTTTTATTAAATTTTCAGGCCCAGCCCGGCTTTTTTTAAAATAAAATTTTCAGGCCCGGCCCGGATTTTTTTAAAATAAATTATATTTATTTTTGATTTTTATAGCTAATAATAACAATTTCAAATATAGGCTGTTTTAAAGAATACAGCCCGGATTGGGTGTTTTTTTTAAATAATTCAGGCCCGGCTTGGGTGTTTTTAAAAAAATTTCGGGCCTGGCCCGGGTATTTTTAAAAAAATTAAAATACTATCCTGCCCGGGGGCCTGGCCTGCAGGTCTCTGAAAAACATACCAAGAAGTACAACATCTGAAAGTAGATTGAAAGGTTTGGATCTTTTGAATATTCATAGGCATTTGACGACAAGCAAGGATGAGATAATTGAAAAATTAGCTCAATCACAACGAAGATTGGATTTTACATTGTAAATATATAACATACAAAATGCAATTATTCCTAAGAAACTTTTTGTGTAAAGGCTCAAAAAGATCAAATTTCTATTTTGGGTCATTTAAGTGATTCTTTACATATAATTTTTTTATAATTCACATTAATTTAAAATTGTGTATTAGAAATAGTTATTAGTCCTAATAAATTTATGCTTGATATTTTAAAAAAACAAAAATATTTTTTTAAAAATTTTATTATCCCCCCCCAGACCAAATTCCTGCTTACGCGCCTGCTCCTGCCGTACTGAAGGCAGACTCAGATGATTCCGCAGATAACGCATTTTGCAAAATTATCTTTGTCTTTTGTAAAATATTTCTATAACTCAGATACCATATTTTAAAAAATTCTTATATTTAAAGTATAAATAAAAATATCGGCGTTATTTAAAAAGATATAAAATAAATAAAACTTTGGGTGTTCCTTTCTATTTTTATTAAAAAAACTTTTAAAATATTATAAATCTATTTTAAAAAAGAAATATATTTTTAAAAATTATTTAGAAAATATTATAATAATGTAAAATAAATATACATAACATAAAATAAAATAATAAAAAAAAGAAAAGAAAATTAAAAATTTTGGAAAACGCTAAATATCTACCGATCCGATATTTAATATCGGCAAAGCCCTACAAATTTTGAATATCCCTCCCTTTATACTCTAGTATCATTTCCAAAAATTATAATGGTTAAATATAATCCAATAGAAAGAGGGATGGATTTCTTGTTTGGCAGGCCGTTAACAAAATGATATAGATAGATTCTTTATAGAAAATCAATTTTAGATACAGATACAAGTATCTTATTAAAAACATCAGCAAGATATTTGAATCTTTTGCAAAATAAAGATATCTTAGATACAAGATACTTTTATGAAAACATTTATCTATTCTTTCTACACAATAATAGATGAGGAGTCAAGAATCTCGTGGTTTGTTAAAACAATATCATCGCCTTTCCACCAAATTGCTATAAAGGATTTGTGTTTAACCTAACATAAGAGTGGAATTGAAAAGATGTATGAACCAACCAAAGAAATATCATATACATATATGTGTTGATTGTTTCAACAGGCTGATAAGTAAATTCCAAATAAAATACATCAAAGTCTATGGTTTATTCCTTCAAAGTTACTATTTCAAATTGTTTATATTTATTTAAATTAACTAAAACACAAGCTAATTACATGATATTTCGACAATTATAATAAATTGTTCTTATTTATATGATTCTGATTAAACGCCAAAAGAGTTATCATTATAACTAAAAAAAATATAACAAATACAATCAAAAAATCTAAATTACCTAAACATAACTATTATTATACCCAGTAAACTGGGTCCAACGGACTATCCAAAATGTTGAACAATAAAATTTAAATAAATCTGTTATATCTAGTATAACGGAAAAAATGACAATTTATAGCGAACCTTGCTATTAAAATGCGAAAGTATTTATTCTGAAAAGTTTTCAATGTTTAGGCCATGTCCTAGTTCGACTTATTAATAAACACCTGGCTAAATAGCCTAAAAAGTAAAAGGGGGAAAACCAAAATACTAAAAATAACAATGCCACCATCAAAAAATGTTTATCTTAGTCTAAACAGCAATAAGTATCAAGAATAAGTCAAACCAAAAGCAGCTTTACTGCTTTATATATTTAATCCGTTTTTTAGACAGTATATACAAAATAAAGCAGGGTTCTGGACCCGAAATCGGGTTCTAGAATTTTAAACTATTTAGCGGAAATTTTGATAACAGGAACTAACCTTATTTCCTAAAAGAGGTCCGAACCCGCCCGGGTCCATATTACACCGGATTTGATGGTTTGCCCAGTCAGTTTCTGTTTTATCTGTTGTTTCAAAATGCTCAACCAAACAGTTTAAAATTTTTGAGCCCGCATTTGTGTCCAGAACCCTGAAAAAAACATTAGAGAATAAAAAAAAAGGGAAAATATCTAATTTGTGCTAATATTTAGTGCTTGACTAGCACTTATTAATTCATCAATTATTTTTGTGAAACACAATAAAGAAACCGAATTATAAAAAAATGAAATCTAAGACATCATGTTTCAAATATGAAGTAAGCCTTGACCAATTCTAAAATTTAACCCCAACCTACATTTTATTGCTTTCATCTGTTTGGTAGACGGGTGAAAGGATTGGCATCACGCCGAAATATAGATTTTCTAAATATATGTGTTGCTTTATAAATTAGTGACTTAAGTCAATTTTGCCAACCTCAAAATGATAACCGAATTATACGACAAATAAAAACTATAATATCACGAACTCAACCAAACTTCTTGAAGAATAACTCTAAACTTATATCAATAATTAGTAAGTATTTAGCGCATTTTAATATAAGAAAAAAATAACAAGAAATATTAGCATCATGCAAGTGCTAAAATGAAGCACTAAATGTAATGGTGCGCATACTGATAAATACTATTCATCAATCGCGAAATAAAAACTATAACAGCATCCCTTAGGATGAGTTTTAAATTTCGGATTAAATTGCCATTCAAAAATCAATTACATCTAAATATAAGGTTTCTTTTTACCCGATTGAAAATATTTTTGAATTTTATAGATATTACTTTTTCGGTTTATTTAATAGATATAAAAGAAAAATAATTATATTATAAAACGCTGTCCTAAACATGAAGTTTGCCAAACTTTTGAAACACTAATTCTAGAGCTTAGACCAATATCTAATGCTTAATTAGTATACATTTTAGTTCAATGCAACATTCTGTTTGGTAAACCTTATAAGTAAAAAGTTATTAGAAAATTTCTTTAACTGGTAACAA